GGGCCGTCATGGGGCCATCTGGAGGCCTCTTGGGCGATCTTGGGGCGACCTCGGGGGCCTCTGGGGCCGTCACCGGCCGTCGGAAAGCCGAAAAGGTGCAAATGCCAAAATCCTTCAAAAACCAATGGAAAATCAATGACTTTGGCCTCGTCGGGCCTTCCTGGAGGACCTCCTGGAGGCCTCTTGGGCCGTCTTGGAGGCCTCTTGCGGGCCTTTTGGGCCGTCTTGGACCATATTGAGGCCATCTTGGGCCGTCTTGGAGGCCATCTTGGCTGTCTTGGAGGCATCTCGCAGGTCATCTTGGGCCATCTTCGCGATTTTTTGAGGACAACCCGAGCGAAACGGCCGTTTGGGGCATCGACGGACGCGCTTTACGGGTGGCCGGCGGGACGTGCCAGAGCCCCAGGGGGAGTTCTTTTGGGAAAAGAACCAAAACCAAACCCTAAGAAGTCCAGCACGCCAGGCACCCCTGCGATGAATCGACAGGGGGCGGCGGATCTATTGGCCTTCGGACTATCCCGCCACCGTGCCTTGCTGGTGGATCAGAGGCCTCTTGGTGTTGGTTGGGATCTCGTGGTTGGCCTCTTCGGGGCCTCTGGAAGGCAGTTTCGAGGCCCCTTGAGGCCTCTTGGGGCAGTTTTGGAGCCTCTTGGGGCTCCTGGGGGGCCTCTTGGGGCCTCTTGTGGCTTCTTGGGGGCCTCTCGGGACGGGAGGGAGGGGGGGGGCTCGGAGGCAACGATCCTCGTGAGGGGCGTCAAGAAATTGCCCTCCAGAGGCCCACGCGGAGCACCGCGAGAGCGTCCGGGAGCGCCCGAGAGCGCTCGAGAGCACCGGGGAATTGGGGGGTTTGGGCCCCGAAGAGACTACAATCCTCGACCTCTCGTGGCTGCATGAGCCTTGGTGCACTCCACTTCGTGCCGAGGGCACGGTGGCGGGTTTTTTGGAAGCAGTTGGTGAACAATGTGTTTGACCCTTTGTGGTGGGACCTCAGTTTCTTTGACGAGTCCTTCTGGGATGCAGTCATGGACGGCAGGCACGACTGCAAGCTGCTGTTGATTTGGTTCATGATCTCCCTGTTCTGGTGGCGTCTGTTTTGCATGGTGGTCGCACCCTTGCCCAGCTGGGCCCAGATGGCTGTGGCAGTAGGCGTCAGTTTTGCGGGGGGGCGCTTCAACTTCTCGATTCAGTCCTTCCCCCAGACAGTGACGTGCCTGCCAATCTTTGTTGCTGGCCGGCTTTTCCCGCTGGAGTGGGTTTTGCAGGTCCTGCCCCAAACGCATTCGGTTGTATGTATTGGTCTGCTGATGCTTCCAGTTGCTTCCATTTTGGAGCGTTCGGAGTCGACGTTCATCGGTTCGTTGCCAGGGTGGGGAGCCTGTGCGGGCTGCGTCTGTGGGGATCCGATGGGCCTGTTATGCTTTTGCAGTGCGAGCTGCTTCTCAATGGTTCAGATGGCCAAGGCTTTTCTCTTTCTCTTCTTTTTGATCCCACGGCAGAAGTTGTTTATCACCGAGCTGGGTGGGCGGTCGCTTTACGTGTACTTGTTGCATTTGATGGTCCAGCGTACTCTCAGGGCTGCCAGACGCACGGAAAATTCCGACTGCAATTGGTTTGGTGTGGGTTGGTTGGTATTTCTCGTATATTTGTTTTCCTTGAATGCCGCGTTATCTTCAAAATGGACAGAAATTGTGTTTGGAATCGTATTTCAGCCAAGCTGGCTTGAGCGGCTCCTGGATGCAACGTTTGCCCTGATGCATGACTGGGTTTTGTCCTTCCGCAACAGTGGACCTGCATCCTGCGAACCAGAGGCACCCTCGCGCTCCGATTCGGGATCGGACCAGGACAGCCTGCTTTCGAAGCCGGCCAGCATCGGCTGCGAGTGCGACACCGGCGCTGGCGCGAGAGGTGGTCACGTCAAATAAGCCTTGCACCGGCCGGTGCGTGAGCCTTCCGCAACAGTGGACCTGCATCCTGCGAACCAGAGGCACCCTCGCGCTCCGATTCGGGATCGGACCAGGACAGCCTGCTTTAGCATCGGCTGCGAGTGCGAGAGAGGTGGGAGCCTTGAGAGCAAAGTGAAACGGATGGGCCGGAGCTGACCCTCGGGAGGAGGAGGAGGAGGGGGAGGAGGAGGAGGAGGAGGAGGAGGAGGAGGAGGAGGAGGAGGAGGGAGGAGGAGGAGGAGGAGGAGGAGGAGGAGGAGGAGGAGGAGGAGGAGGATGGAGGAGGAGGAGGAGGAGGAGGAGGAGGAGGAGGAGGAGGAGGAGGAGGAGGAGGAAGGGGGGAAACTAACACCAGACGGTGCACAAGCAGAAAGCAGAAAACACGCAAAGTACAACACGAGCGGTCAGTCGCACCATGCTTTCACAGCCGACTCCCACGCCGCTGCTGCACCCGCCTCTGGCCGGAAGAGGTCAGCCAAGCGGCCGCGGGAACTGGCTATTCTCAGACAGCTATTCAGAACCATGTTGCCCCACATCTGTCGGGGACGCCCTCTTTTGCGAGGCCCTGTCGGCAATCGCGGTTTCATGCCGCCGGGCTGTAGGACGCAGCATCGCACAGGGTCGTGGCAAGGTCGCATCGCGAGCTGCCCTGGGAAAATCATTTGTCGCTTGGCAATGGCTTCGCTCAGTGGCCGCTCGCCAGCCATGCTCAACACGGCGTTGTTGGACACGCGACTCGTATACGAAGTTTCATTATGTAAGTCATTTTTAATCACATGGCCTGAAACTCGTCAAGTCTCTTCCGCTCTGATTTGTTCTGACAAGCGGCAAAAAGACATTAGCATAACTTTGAGACGACGCACGCATTAAAAGTCTCCGCTTGATGCTTCCGAGACAATGCTGCGTGAGACCAAGTTGCATGCAACACCTTGAAATCCTGCTTTGCCGCCCCTAATCTCCCGTTCAGCTCAGAGCCACTACGGCCGTCGGACGAGATGTGGGCTCCGAGGTACAGCAATGCTTCCTTCACTTGCACCGTGTCTCCAACACCGTTCACCACGTGTGCTGCTGACCGAGCTCTCATCACTCTTACTCTGTTCCAGTTCAAGCTCAGGCCGTACTGCTTCCCGCATTCCTCCACGCACGACGTGAGCTCCTGCACGACGACAGGATTCGGATCCATCAAGAGCGTGTCATCTGCGTACGGGGGTGAAAAACCAGGGGGTTAAAAAAAAACCGGGGGTGAAAGAAACCCAGGGGTGAAAAACAACCGGGGTTGAAAAAAAACGGGCGCGAAGTGCGCGTCGGAAATGTCTGACACTCGCCATGCGTCGTTGGGCGTGGCGCATCCTCCAGCAGGCATCGTCGTGACGACGGTGAACACAAACGGAGACAGGCGGACACCCCATGGCAGGCGCCGAGCCTCCGTCGCCGCTCTCGCTGGATAATGAGCCGAAGTCAGGCACGACGAACTTTCTGTCTTCGACTATCGCCTTCACCATGTCTGCGAACTTGGCCTCCTCCTCCTCCTCCTTCTCCTCCCCCTCCTCCTCCTCCTCCTCCTCCTCCTCCTCCTTCTCCTCCTCCTCCTCCTCCTCCTCCTCCTCCTCCTCCTCCTCCTCCCTCCTATGTCTGCGAACTTGGCAGGGCACCCGAACCGCCGAAGCGAGGTCGTCATTGCTGCGGGCGACACGGAGTGGAAAGCCTTCGCCCCATCAAGCGCCGCTGAGTGGACGGTCCCCTCCTCCGTTGCCCACACGTCTTCGAGCATCCTCCCGGCGACGAAGATCGCGTCGGAGGGGTCGCGCGTGGGCTGGGAGCTGAACTGTGTGGGCCAGATCTCGTCCTCCGCGCCCGCGGCTTTCAACCTCTGCAACATGACCACCGCGAAGACCTTGCGCCCTGTGGGCAGCAAGCCGATCGGCTGGTAGTTGTCGCATCCTGCTGGGTCTCCCTTCTTTTATTCATCCTGCGAGCCCGCGACTTGTGCCAAGCGTCTGGCACCGCTGCCTGCGACGAGACAACGTTGCAGAAACGTGTGACCCATGCAAGGGGGGACTTTCCATCCCCAGCAGACGCTTTCCAGAATTCTGGTGGCATGTCGTCCAAGCCGCCTGATCTACTGTTTTGCAGTCTTCGGGCGGCTCGATGCACCTCCTGAGCAGTGATGATGTCCAGGTTGAACGGCAAATCAGCTTGAATCGCAGGGTCTTCCTGCAGCACTGTCGTTGGCCGCACGGCCATTGCATTGTCTCTGAATGTCAGGAGGAGAAAAACACACACAGACAAACATGTTCGTCGATCCCCAGGGAAAGATGGGAAAATATGGGAAGAGGGGGGGAAGACGCACATCCTCCAGAAACTATAGAAAAATGTGGGGAATCCTCGGAGTTGTGTGTATTTTTACGTGTGTGCGTGTGTGTCTGTTGGCCCCTTCACCTAAGTGCTGCTGCGCAGGTGTATCTGCCCTGCGGTCGCCGTCCACCAGCTCGCCCTCGCTCGTGCGCAGTCTCCCCTGGGCAGGCTGGTGGCCTCTACGCAGGCTGCGGATCTGTGCCCACTCTCCGCCTCGGGCTACATCCTCAAGCCGCTTCGCCTTGCCTCCGGCCACGGAAGCTCGGATTCGCTTCGCTGTGTCACGCTCTCGCGGGGCACCCGCGTCCCGCCTGGCTTGAGAGCGCAACCGCACAAGTTCCAGCGTGCTGCTACTGATCCATGGCTTGCGAGGGCGAATCAGTTCCTGCGGCAAGACAGTCGTCTCTGCATGTACGAAGCCATCAACCAGTTGGCACCATGCCAGGTTCACGTCGGAGACATTCGGGGATGCCTCTTCGTAGCTGTCCAACGCATCGCCCAGACATCTTGCAAAGGTCTGCCTGGTGTACGTGTCGTCCAGGGCGGCGTGGTCTCGGCGGCATGTCTGTTCTGCCACGCGTCGCTTGTCAACCTCCATGCGCACGGAGGCCTGCAGTAAGAAGTGATGCGATGAAAAGGGGAGAAGGAGGAGGAGGAGGAGGAGGAGGAAGAGGAGGAGGAGAAGGAGGAGGAGGAAGAGGAGGAGGAGGTGCCTCTGGGCGGGCACTTGCACTTTCGACGTTACGCAGCCAGCCCTGCCCACAATAATATAAGTCTATCTTTGGAGTGCGTCTGCACGCTGACAGGGGGCGCCTGCCCTCGTGCATCGACGCTGTGGCGGGTTGCCAGGCCGTCAACTGAGGAATCGAGAATAGTGTTGGCCGGGCACTCCACGGGCAAATGTCTGTTGGTAGCATCCTTGAATCCCGTGCCTGGGCACAGCAGGACGTGCTCGCCCACCGCAACGTGTTCGCCATCCGTGCGGTAGTGGAGCTTCGAACTGAAATCGCCGAGAAAGAATTTGGGTCCGTGTTCCGATTTGGGCTCGACGAACTCAGCCAGGTCGTGAAAGAAATCATGTCTTTGACCGAACAGCTTACCACTACGAGATGCATATGCCGAGATCAGCGCAGCCTTCCCTCCAGGGACGCGTACTTTCAGCGACGCCATTCTTGAATCAGCCTGGCAAAATCCTACCAACGACCTCCGAAACCAGGGAGCGACTAAGAACCCCACTCTGGCTCGTTCGCTATCTCCGTCGATCCCTCCAGACATGATGACCAGGAAACCCGAATCCGTCACGAACGTGTTGGACTTCCGCTGCCAAGTCTCCTGTACGCACAACACCCCGATGTGTTTAACAATGATGATTCTTGGGCTTAGGCCACGCCGCCGACCCCTTCAGTATCTTCAGGCTAGCTGAAAGGCTCCTGGACCGTCTAGGGGCGTCACAGGGGTTCGCCGGGTCCTCTGGAAGCAGCTTGGGTGTCCAGGGCGGACGTTGGGCGACGTAGGACAGGTTCAGTCTCCTTCCCTGTAGCAGGAGACAGGGGGAGAGGACCCAGTCCGTCCTCAGGAGGGGGTTCGAGTTTTACGAGAAGACACCTGCGAGAGCCAACTCAGGAATCTTTGAAACCCCGTAAATGGTCGAGTGGAGGCGTAGCTGGGTACCTGTGCACTCCGATCTATAGAGGAGGTATACAGACCCTCTCCAATTCCTGGTTTTCCTGGTTCCTGGGATGTCGACTTTGCTGCTTGTCCTGGTTCCTGGGATCTCGACGTTGCTGGGTTTTTTTTGGTCCACTCGACGGATCCGCTGTTGTACCGTAGTGGGGCGAGGTGAGGGCTTCTTGGTCCGTCTTGGAGCGAGAACCCCGAAAAGCTGCAACGATGTGTGTAGTAGGTGGTAGTTTTCGCATCTTGGGTCCCTCTTGGCTTCTGGGAGGCCTCTTGGGGCGTCTTAGAGGCCTCTCGGGGCGTCTGGGGGCACCTAGGGGGTCTTGGGACAGACCTATGGCGACGCGCCCCGGCGGCAATCGCGCCACGCCCCCTGGGGGCTCGCTGTCCAGCCGTGGAACCCGTTGGCATTCGACGGCAGGCTCGGACAGCCGCACCAGCCCAGGAGGTGGTCAGCCCGTGGCCACGCTGGCTACGGACTCTTGCTCCCCCATGCCCTACTCCCCGCGGATGAGAGACCATCGAAAGCAGGATCCTTCCCGTGTCTGTTGGCGGTGCTCCGGGAGGCCTCTGGGGGCGACTTGGCGGCCTCTCAGAGGGCTTTTGCGTCTTCTTGGGGGTCTGCGGCGGGCTGCTGACATCGAACTCATTATCATCGGCATCCTCGGCGTCATCGTCGGCCGCGGCCTCAGCGCCGCCGTCGCCACCCTGCGCGCCGTCGCCATCGCGGCCTGTCGTCTCGCGCCCAGCCTCATCGCGCGGCCCTACGAAGTGCACGTCAAAGCCAGCGGCAATGAACTGGCGCGGCGTGACGACGTCGACGCCTGACAGACCGCAATCCCTGGAAATAGCCCGGCCCGCGTCACCGGCCCAGGCACCTCTGGTTCCCCTGCCTCGTACCCCGACAGCACGGCGGCGTCCTCGCCCGCTCTCGGCGCATAGCACCTGATGATGTCGTCGTCTGGCAGCACGTCAAACAGGCGCGGGTCGTAATACTTGTGCATGGGCTCCTCCACAGTCCCGCCCAGGTGCCAGGGGCCGTACGTGCCGGCAAACGCGCACAGCGCCCGCAGCACGTGCCCACAGTAGCGCCAGCGCACGTGCAGCCCCTCGACCACCTCCTTCCCAAAACCCACATTCCGCCGCAACATCAGGCTGAAGGGCACTTTCCTCGGGTGCCAGGGCAGCACCACCCGCGGCTCCACGTTCCCCTGAAGCTCCTTCCCCCTGCCGCCATGATCGTAGTCGATGAGCACCTCCCCGCTGAGCAGCACCTCTGCGACACGCCTGGGAAACACCAGGCGCCCACAAATGTCCACGCCGAAGCGCTGCCGCTCCTCGTCAGTGCTGCCCGCAGCCATGCGTTCGGGGCGCTGCGGGTCGTCGGGGCGCTCGCCGGGCCCCCGCACCGAGTTCACGCGGTCCCCGACGCGGAACCCCTTCATCAGCTCGTGGCGCCGCGCGAACCCAGCCACGTCCTGCGGGAACGAGATGATGTTCTTGCGGTACTTGCGCAGCCCCGTCCGGGACACGGTGGCCAGGTGCACCTGCATGTGGTCCAGGGCAATGAGCAAACCCTCCGTGAGCGTGGCCTGATCGAACAGCTCGCGGAGGTCATCGGAGGGGAAGCGGAAGCACGGGTCCATATGGTTCTGCGCAGTACGGAGACCCACCACCTGATACAAGTCGTCCTCCGTGGGCGCGGCCGCCGCCTGCTTGTCCAGGTCCCGCCTGCACCGCATGCACACGCCCGCGCACTCCAGAGCGAAGCCGTCCGGCGGGTCGCTCGGCGGCACCTCGTCCCACTCGGCCACCTCCGTACTGCACGCAGCCAGCCCGTCCCCGCCGCGCCGCAGCAGCAGCATCTCCTCCGCGAGCTCGTCCAGCGGCTCGAAGGCAGGGTGGGACGCCGGGAACCGCTCCTGGCACTCGTGGCGCGTGAACTTCACCATGCGCGTCAGGATCGCCTGCGCCGCCTGCACAGCCCGAGCGGACGCGTCGCGCAGCTGCACGTCGTACTTCGTCACGCGCAGCGGCACCGTCTTCAGCGCCAGCAGCATGCACTTCTGGTGAGCATCTCCTGCAGCCAAGCGCGCGCGGTGGTCCACGTGCCCCCCGAGGCGCTCACGCAAACGCGACTTCGGACGAAACTCCCAGTGCTCCGATTCTGGCGCAGATCCAAACACAAGCGACTCTGCGACGGCCGACTCGGCAGCCTCCGACGGCCTTCCAGGTGCCCATCTGGTCCGAATCACTGCCCGCAGATCATTCCCGTACCGACCGCGCTTCTTCGCCGGACGCCCTCGACCACGCCCCGCACGTCCTGCCCCCCGCAGACCCTGACCAGCCTGCTGCAGCGCATCGAGGCCTTCTTTGGCGGTGCGCTCACCTGCGCGGGCCTCGGCCAGCAGTCCCGCCACCCCTACGTCCTCCTGCAGCTGGCCAACCCAGACGCGGCCCGGATTCTCCCCCTCCTCCGCCCTGCGCTCGCGCGGCCCCTGCCCCCGCCACCGCGCCCCCGCCATGTCCGCTGGCTCCAGCCAGCCGGCAGGCCGCTCCACGGGCAACGCAACCACGTCGTCGTCCGGCACCGCGTTCGCTACGAACCCAGCCGCGACCCGCGACTCGCGCTGCCACAGACCACGAAAGTCATCCGCGTCGCCTCCGCCCGGCTCATCGCAGCACCGTGCAGCCCGCCACTGCGTCGCGCCGCCCTCAACCACGACGGGCGTCTGCAACGTGCTACGCTCGAAGCGCACCCAGGGCCATTCCGAGCGACACCGGAAATCCTCCTCCACGGCTATCTCCTCCCAGGAGGAACGCTCTTCGCTCGGGCAACGACCGCGCGCGCGATCCTCCAGCTCCAGCAGCGCTCTCCCGAACCGCCCTGGTCGCCCAGGCTCCATCAGCGCACCCCGCAACGTGTCGCCGGCCGACCCCTGGATCCGCGCGCTCGCCGGTTTGCAACCGCGCCGCGACAGCAGGTACTCCCGCACGGCGTGCGCCAGATCCGGCAGCCGCCTCTCCTTCAGGTGTGGTACGGGCGCCGCTGCCCACGCGCGCGCATGCCCACCCCCGCCGCGAGGCAACCCAGAGCGGCGCGACGCGCGCCCGTCCGCACCCTCCGCCGCTAGCGCCTCCGCCTCATCTGCCTCCGCCGGAGGTCCGGCACCGGCGAAACGCGCCAGCTCCGCGTTGAGCGCGCCGCGCACCTCGTCCAGCAAGGCCACGTCGTCCTCCGAGGCGACCTCGTGGTCCGAGGCAGAGCGCTCGTCCTCCCGCGCCGAAGCCGAGAGCTCCACCATCTCCGCGGCGACCTCGCCGCCGCGCCCCTCCGCGGCCAGGTGCCCGGCGCCGCCCTCCACAGCCCATTCTTCCGCGGGACGTTTTGCACTCGAGCCTCCTTCTGCGCCCCGTCGACGACGCCCTCGCCGTCCCAGCGGCCCCCCCTCCAGCGCGCCCGCCCTCCGCAGCCCCGCGCTCCGCGCCAGCCCCGGCGGCCTCTACCTCGGACGTCTTGCGCCCCAGCCGCCGCCTCCGCGCCCCGCGCCCCGCGGCGCTCCCGCCGGCCCCCACCGTGGATGTCCTGCGCCCCAACCGCCGTTTCCCGCGGCCCCCGCCCGCGCCCTCGGCACAGCGGCCCTCGTTCACCGCGCCATCCGCGACGTCGACGCCCGCTCCGCCGCGCGCAGCGCCCTCGCCATCCGGCCCAGGAATCGCCCCCGCGCCCTTCTCCGCTTCGCCCCACTCCTCCTGCGACGTCTTGCGCCCCGGCCGCCGCTTCCGACCACCCCGCCGCACGTCGCCCGCGCCGCCGCCGCTCTCCGGCCCCGCGCCCTCCACGGTGTCGCCGCTGCCCCCGCCTTGCGCGGCGGCCTGGTTCGCCTACGCAGCAACCGCCCCCGTGCGCCGATCCGCCGCCCCGCGCGACCGCTGCTCCCAGTCCAGGTCGGTGTTGCGGACCTTGTAGTACTCATCCCCTCGCGCGCGCGCTGCGCAGGCAGGCGAGAGCAAACGCCAGCAGTGGCACCGATCGCATTGCGCCCAATTCCGCATGCAGAACAGGTGCGACGCACCGTCGTCGGCGCCCGCGCACGCCCCGAGCCCTCCGGCGCCTGCGTCGCCACCCTGATCCTCGCCGGGCAACTGGCCCGCCTTCTCGTTCGCGTGCAGCCTGTTCCCCTTGGAGCGCGGATCGATGTGCGGACAGCACTGCGGCCCTGCAAACTGCACCAGATACTGTTGTTCCAGGGCGTACCGTCGGATCTCCTCGCTGGTCAAACGCAGCGCCTCCATGCAATCCTTCCTGCTACAATCCACCTCGGAGGCGTGCAGCTGCGCGAGGTACTTGTTGAAGACTGGCCGGCTGTGCCACATG